GAGTACGACAACTTGAGTACGAAAACATAAGACACCTGTTTACGATAACTTAACCTCTTGAGTACGATTATTTAACCCATTTGAGTACAATATCACTATTATAAGGGACTAAGTTATGGTATTCGTGTGTGTGTGTGTGTGTGTGTGTGTGTGTGTGTGTGTGTGGTAGGAATGGCTGGTGACTGTGTGGTAGGCTCTCTCTCTCTCTCTCTCTCTCATTTTCATTGTTTTTTTATTATATATATTTTTTTAAATTTGTAATTACAGGAAATACAGTTAGTGGCACTTAGGGAGGGTGCCAACTATCCCTGGGTGCCAATGGGGTTAGGTGAAGTGAAGTGAGGTAATGTACGGTGAGGTTAGGTCAGGTCAGGTCAGGTGCCAACAGGGTCACTGCTTTGATTCTCCTTTGGCACTAAAACCCTAAACCATTTATGGGGGGATTTTTATGTGGGAAAATTCAGAGGTCATTTTCCCCGGATTTTGTTGTGAAATCTAAAATCCAGTGAAATATAAAAGGGTTTATCCTATATAAACCCTAAACCACGCATTTTGTTCTGGTTTATACTGTTTATAAACCCTAAACCTAAGCCCTTTATTTCTAGGGCTAATTGGTATATCAGATTTCGAAGCCAATTAATTTTTCAAGTCATTAATGCTTCAATAAAAATCAATTAAAATTTCATTAAAAACCCGAGCAGACATTTAACTCAACCCGACCTGACGAGGAGAAAAGAAGAAATTACCTCCATCTTTTATTCCTGTGAGCTTCGTGATTAAGAGAAGCCTTAGGGGGCCCTGTGAAGCCCTGAGGAGCCCACGGAAGTCTTGAGAAAACCAAAGAACCCTCGAGGAACCCACAGAACCCTTGAGGAACCCCCAAAACCCTTGAGGAACCCACAGAACCCTCGAGGAACCCACAGAACCCTCGAGGAACCCACAGAACCCTCGAGGAACCCCACAGAACCCTTGAGGAACCCACAGAACCCTCGAGGAACCCACAGAACCCTTGAGGAACCCCCAAAACCCTTGAGGAACCCACAGAACCCTCGAGGAACCCACAGAACCCTCGAGGAACCCACAGAACCCTCGAGGAACCCCCAAAACCCTTGAGGAACCCACAGAACCCTCGAGGAACCCACAGAACCCTTGAGGAACCCACAGAACCCTCGAGGAACTGACAGAACCCTCGAGGAACCTGACAGAACCCGGAGGAACCCACAGAACTCCCCGGAGGAACCCACAGAACCTCTGGAGGAACGACAGAACTCCTCGAGAACCTGACAGAACCCCGAGGAACCCACAGAACCTCGAGGAACCCACAGAACCCCGAGGAACCCAGAACTCCGAGGAACCCACAGAACTCTCGAGGAACCCAGTCCCTGCTGAGGAACCCACAGAACCTCGGAGGATTCACCATTCCGAAAAACCCTCTTGTGGGGGATATGAGGATTATTCTACCTCATGAGCACTCGACACGAAGATGAGCTATGACAAGATATATGGGCGGGGTGGGGTGGGTGGTGGGTGGTGGCTGGGTGGTGGTGGGAGAGGAGGGGTGGGGGGAGGTGAGGGAGGCGGGTGGGATAGGGAGGCTAGGTGTGGGAGACAGAAAGCAAAAAGAAAAATCGTAATTGGGAAGAGAAGAAACTGGACGGAGAGGAAGAAAAGGTAGAGGAAGAAGGATTAGGAAGACGTAGGAAGACGAAGAAGAAAGGAAATAGGAAGAAGAAGTTAGTAGTCCCCCCCTCATCTAATGGCTTTTTGAGAACTAGCTCACCAGGAACAAGAAAACCCTCTCTCACTCTCTCTATTTATGTCCCATATATGACCTGGGTGCTGAACCATGGGTAGGGGGAGGAGAGATTAATAGTGGGTGCATAATGGGGAGATAGAGAGGGGAGAGAAGGTAGGAAGGGGGAGAAGGGGTATTAGGGAGATAGAAAGGGTGAGAGGATGGAGAGGGAGGAAGATAGAGAGGGGGAGGGAATAATAGGGAAAATGAGGGAGGAAAGGGAGCATAGGGAGAGAGAGAGAGAGTAAGGAGCCATTGAACCCAATGCAAGTCGGCACTCTGGACAGCACTGGTGGTTGGAGCTGAGTGTATTGTGACCTGGAGGTGTGAGGGAGGTCAGGGAGAGGAGGGAGGTCAGGGTGGGGAGGAAGGAAGGGAGGAGAAGGGAGGTCAGGGATGAGGGAGGTCAGGAGGAGAGGAGATGGAGCCATGGTGGATGGAGGAGGGGTGCAGTATCGACCCCCTGTGACCGTGCCAGCTCCCTCGCCGCCTCGGCCCCACCCCGCCCAGGTCCCTGCCCCTGCCCCGCTCCCTGCCCAGGTCCTGTTCCTGCCCCTTCTGCCTAAGTCCCCGCCCCTGGGCCCTGCCCAGCCCAAGTCCCCTGGCCCCTGCCCTGCCCAGCCCAGGTCCCCGCCCCGCCCACAGGTCCCCGCCCCGCCCAGGTCTCTGCCCTGCCCAGCCCAGGTCCTCGCCTCGCCTCGTTCGGTCTGTCAACTACTGTACACTGATCTCACACAAACTTGATTTCGTACCAGCCAAACCTTGTGTAAACCCGACCTCACACCTCACACAAACCAGACCTCACACTTACCATACCTCACACAAACCAGACCTCACACAAATCCTACCATAATGATTTAACCCTTTGAGTTTCATCCTAAAAGAGTTAACCCATCATCCGGAAAGGATTAAGTACTCACCCTCAAAGGGGTTAAGCCATCCTCAAAGGGTTAAATCCTCCTTCTCAAAAGGTCAAACCATCACCCTCAAAGAGGTTAAATCATCATCAAAGGGTTAAATCATCTTTATAATGTTAAACCCTCAAAGGGGTCAAACCATCAGCCTCAAAGAGTGGTGTTCACATAATCATCAACTCGAGTCAAACAGCAACACAGTTTTACATTACCCAACACAGAGCAACACACCTTCGCTAATTAAGGTATGGACTAATTTAACGTAGGTGTAATACAGACAGGTGGACAGGTGGATGGCTGGACAGGTGGATGGCTGGACAGGTGGATGGCTGGACAGGTGGATGGCTGGACAGGTGGATGGCTGGACAGGTGAAACGTTGGACAGGTGAAACGTTGGACAGGTGGATGGCTGGACAGGTGAAACGTTGGACAGGTGATGGCTGGACAGGTGGATGGCTGGCCAGGTGGATGGCTGGACAGGTGGATGGCTGGACAGGTGAAACGTTGGACAGGTGAAACGTTGGACAGGTGGATGGCTGGACAGTAGATGAAACGTTGGACAGGTGAACAAGTTGACAGGTGGATGGCTGGACAGGTGAAATGCTGGATTATGGGGTGTAGAAACGTTGACACAGGTGGATGGTTGGACAGATGAAACGTTGGACAGGTGAAACGTTGGACAGGTGGAGGGTTGGACAGGTGAAACGTTACAGTAGAAACGTTGGACAGGTGGGATGGCTGACAGATGAAACGTTGGACAGGTGAAACGTTGGACAGGTGGATGGCTGGACAGGTGTGAATATTTGTCACTAATTAAATAATATATATTTATACATGTATTAATTATAGTAAGTGTTTAATTATATTGGTATATTTCACCTGCATATTTCGGTGGATTTTGAAATATACTTTATTATATATACACGACGAAATATATTTGGTGTATTTACTTATATTATTAAGTGGGAAATATACTGGGCTTGGAAAAATATGTACCCTCCCCCTCACCTCTATTCCTCTCCCACCCTCCCCTCCCTCCTCCTCTCTCATTCTCTCCCCTCCTCCCCCTCCTCCCCTTCACCCTTATATTAATTCCGCTTCAGTCATATTAACTCTCTCTCTCTCTTCAGGTTAATTTCGTGTTTCTGATCTAAATAAAACATATTTCTAACCGATATATTTAATGGTATATTTCTTCCCCTAAATATATCGGGAGGAAAATATCGGGAAATCGGCTCCTCATTGTTGTGTGATTATATGGCTTTGTTGTGCCGATGGTGACTATTGTTGTGGGTGATGTGGTTTGGTTAGGTTACGTTAGGTTAGGTTTGGTTAGGTTAGGTTTTTTCCTGTTGGTGGTGATTCAAGGTTGTGTAGGTCTTTGGATAACAGCAGCAGCAATAACAACAGCACAGGGTCATAACAGCAGGAGGTACAGCGGCAGTATCAACAATCGTGACAATGACCAGCCAATGGCCTCACTAACAAGCGGTAGTATGAGGGCAACAGATGGTTATGGCGGCATGACCTCGTCTGCTGCAACCTGAGTGTCAGCACCAGCGAGTTACTAACGTCAGCAGTAGTGAAGGTTGTAGTAGTGTTGTGATGGCTGTGTCAGCACCGTCAGCAGAGTAGTGTGAAGGTTGTCTGGGCACCGTCAGTAGGACAGCGTGAAATCAGCGTCAGCATTGCAGCATGAAGGTAGCGTCAGCACCGTCAGGAGGACAGCAGCATGGAGGCAGCGTTAGCTTCGTCAGGAGGACAGCAGCATGAAGGCAACGTCAGCTCCACAGTTTAATGGGGCGCGTCTTGGCAGGCGGACAGTCAGGAAGGAAGGGATGTCAACAACCTCGAGAAATGCTGCTGCTGTTCTTGCTGCTGCTGTTCTTGTCGCTCTTGTTCTTGCTGTTGTTTTTGTTATTGCTGCTCTTGTAATTCTCTTGTTGGTGTGCTGTTGCCGTGGCTGTTACGGCCGCCAGGGCTGTTAGTGAGAGCAAAGTTTGCGGAGGTGCTTTGAGCCGAACCAGACGAGGTGGAACCGTTCTTAACTTGTCGACGGCTTTTGTGGCGAGGGAGGGAGATGATGAGGGAGGAAGGGGGGAGAGGAAGGGAGAGAGATGAGCGACAAGGAGAGACGGGGGACGGGGGTGTGAGGGGACGGGTTTTTAAAGGGGGAGGGGGAGGTGAGGGAGACAAGATAAAATGAAGGGAGGTAGAGAGGGAAAGGAGAGAGAAAGGAGGAAGGAAGGAATACAATAGAAGAGAAAGGGGAGGAGAGGAAGAGAAGAGGGAGAATAGATGGAAGGGGGAGAGAGGGTGCTGACGTGATAAGAGATGTGGAACAGGAAACACAGAGGAAGGAGGGGAGAGGTGGAAGGAAGAGGGAAGGAGGGAGAAGGCTGAGAGAGAGGGAGAGAATAGGGCAGGAAGAAGGGAGAATATAATAGACTATATGATAAAAGTGTAGACAGATAGGTGGAGATAATTAAGAGACTCCAAGACCAGGGAAGAGAAAGAGGGAGTGAGGGATTATTGGATTAGGAGAGAGAGAGAACAAGGGAAACAGAGGGTATGAAGAAAGAGACGAGAGAGAGAGAGAGAGAGAGAGAGAGAGAGAGAGAGAGAGAGAGGAAATATTATGCAATTGTAGAGTGAATGGATACAAACGACCCCAGTTAGGAAGTGGACACGTATTGTACAAGTTGTAAAAGGTCACACTTGAGGGTAATGACGTCAGATATAGGTCGTACTTGATGGTAGTGATGTCAGATATAGGTCGTACTTGATGGTAGTGATGTCAGATATAGGTCGTACTTGATGGTAGTGATGTCAGATATAGGTCGTACTTGATGGTAGTGACGTCAGATATAGGTCGTACTTGATAGTAGTGACGTCAGATACAGGTCGTACTCGAGGGTAGTGACGTTAAGTAGTTATAATAGGTCGTACTTGAAGGTCATACTTGAGGTCGTGGCATAAGGTTACAGGAAGATACAGTAACAGGACATTAAGTAACACTAACATGACTGAGTGTGACTGTTGTCATCTCTGTCGTGTTACTTGAGTGTTACTTGTGGTGCAGCAACAGATGGTCAAGTAACAGCACAACAGTGATGTTTGGGGTGTTGTAACGACACAGTAACAGCAAACAGCCGGCTTAGAACAGCATGCAACAGCAGTAGACCCACTAGTGCATAAACAGTATACAGCATTCCCATAACAGCATTAACAGCAGACTACATAACCTGGGAGAAGCAATAACAGCAGAAGAACAGCACAGAACATCAAGAACAACAGAGGAATAACAGAACACCAAGAACAGCAGAGGAACACCAAGAACAGCAGAGGAACAACAGAACACCAATAACAGCAGATGAACAACAGAACACTAAAAACAGCAGAATAACAGCACAAAACAACAGAATAACAGCAGATGAACAACACGGACCAGAAGCCTCCCTCAGACACTGGGGAGCACTAGTACCCCACACTAAAGGCCTCCACGTTCATTATATAAAACATCTGGCTCCAAACCTTCACCATTTTGCTTGCCGGATAGGTGAAAATGGCCGGTTATGAGGGTGGGTGATGGGGTCGGTATAGTCAATAGCCGGATTAATATAACAATTGGTCGGATGTCAGTGGGTTATGATAATTAGCCGGATGTCAGTTGGCTGATATGATAATTAGCCGGATGTCAGTGGGTTAATATGACAATTAGCCGGATATAACAGGTGATTGGATCAGTATAGCATTAGCCAGATATGAGAATGACTGATTGGGTAAAAATAGCCGGATACAACACTGGATGGCCGGATAAACATGACCAGGGTTCTTGGGCTGTATCGGCCGGCCGGTTACGTGGTATTCAATAAGTCATCCATTAGTGGTGATTACGAGAGGCTCCCCTGAGTTCTTGTTCTTCTTGTTCTTGTTCTTCTTCTTGTTCTTCTTGTTCTTCTTCTTCTTCTTGTTCTTCTTTATTCACGATTTCTATTGCCTCCTACTTTTCTTCTCTTCTCTCTTCCTCCTTTCTCCCCTTCCTCTTGATCTTCCTCTTCACACTTTTTTTATGTTATTTCATATCTCCTCCTCCTCTCTCTCTCTCCTTCCTTCCTTCCTTCCTTCATTAACTAGTTCTTCTTCTTCTTCTTCTTCTTCTTCTTTTTCTTTATTAACTCATTTCCCTTCCTTTTCCTCCTCCATTTATTCATATCCCAATTTTTTCTCACACACACACACACACACACTCCTCTTAGCTTGAAGCGTGGGCAAGAAAAAATGCTCCAGTGAATTGCGTGTGAGAGAGGGAGGGAAGGAGAGAGGGAGAGAGTCAGTCTTGTGTGATATGATGGACTGAGGCAAGTAAGGAAGGAAGGTGGGAGAGAGGGAGGAAGGAAGGAAGGAAGGAGGGAGGAAGTTTTGTTGGTTTTTGGTGGAGGAAAGGGAGAGAGGGAGAGACAGACAGACAAGGGAATAGGGAGAAAAAGAAAGGAGGGAAGGAGGGAGAGGGCGTGGGGAGGAAGGAGGGAGGAAGGAATGGAGGAGAGGGAGGAAGGAAGGAAGGAGAGGGAGGAAGGGAGGAGGGGGAAGGAAGGAGGAGAGGGAGGGAGGGAGGGAGAAAGTGTAGGAGGGAAGGAATGAGGAGGAGAGAAAAGAAGGAAGGAAAAAGGAAGGGAAGGAGGAGAGAGGAAAGGTAGGAAAGAATTTTTATACAGTACTGGGGTTTATTGGGGTTAAAATACAGAGGAAGGAAGGAGGGAGGGAAAAAGATGAGTTAGTGGAGGAAAG